CTCTGAATTGCAGTGGCTCACATGTCAGTCTTGGTGCTTCAAGTATACAAGGCTGTGAATTGCTTGAGGAAGAGATTGTCTTGTTGTCTCATGGCACCTAACCTTGTGACTTACATGAAGTGTGTTCTTTATAATTGTGTTTGTTTGTTCTGCCCTTTTGCTTGCTTGGAGTCCATGCCCTTGAAACTTTGGAACAATCATAGAAACCATTCTCTTTGCCACGAGCCATCTGGGATCTCAAAGAAAGGAAGAAGGCAGATAGCTAGCCCTGGCAGCAGACCTATCTGTGAGATGCAGGAACAGGCTGGGCAGGTGGGCGGGGCACACTGCTGACCATTTACCTGAAGTGAGCCCTGCCTAACAGTCCTGTTCCTTTGATTTTTATTGTTGTTTTGTGGGTTTTAATGGTGGTAGGGAGTGATGTAGGGATGAACTGTACCTCCAAAGGGGCTTTTCTCTTGGGTGAAAAATAAAGTGATTTTTTGAAATGCAAAGCGTAACCTATATTTTTAAAGATCTGTTCTTTCTGGTCTAATGGGAGATGGGGCAAAATTGGAGGACTTAGATAATTTTGATAACTCTGAAATAGCCACAGTGCTTCAAATTGTTGACAATTAATCTCCTATAGAAGACAACATGCTTTCCTAGACATTTTAAATTCTGGGAAAAAAAAAAAAAACAGGCACAACCCTAAATTACTACCTTTTGGCAGTGTAATTGTAGGCCAATTCTCCACAAAATATATGATCGTGGTTTCAAGGTTGTTCATCTAATGAATTTTAAAGCTACTTTATGCTCATAAGGTATTATTAATACCACATTTAGTGTTTCAGAAGGAAAAGCAGTTAAATGGTGGGGTTTGTTCTCAAGGGAAAATTGCTATGCTCGGTTTGTAGAAAAATAAATGTTAAATCGATTCTATATTGAATGACACCTATTGGGAGGAGTACATCAGAAATGGAGAAAGCACTAGGGAGTGAATAATGAAGCAGATTGCAAATTATAAAATTTTCCAGATATTCATTTTAGGAGACGTTCTGATGAGGACCCTATTATTATTTTAGAATTCTTAAAAGATGGAAAAGAGCTCCTCCCTCTTTCCTTTCTGCCGCCGCCATGCCATCCAGACTGAGGAAGACCCAGAAACTCCCGGGGCCACGTGAGCCATGGCCACGGTCGCATTGGTAAACACCGCAAGCATCCAGAAGGCCACGGGAATCAACTTCGACAAATACCATCCAGGTTACTTTGGGAAAGTTGGTATGAGGCATTACCACTTAAAGAGGAACCAGAGTTTCTGCCCGATCGCCAACCTGGATAAGTTGTGGACACTGGTCAGTGAGCAGACACGGGTCAACGCTGCCAAGAACAAGACTGGAAGCTGCTCTCATCATTGATGTTGTGCCATCGGGCTACTACAAAGTTCTGGGGAAGGGAAAGCTCCCTAAGCAACCTGTCATCATGAAAGCCAAATTTTTCATCAGAAGAGCTGAAGAGAAGATAAAGCGTGTTGGAGGTGCCTGTGTCCTGGTGGCTTTAACTATCCAGGAAAGTTAATTAAATGCTAACATTTTCCAAAAAAAAAAAAAAAAAACGTACTTATGGTATGTCCAGAGGCATTCTGGATCCTGCAGAGGAACAGTGTGGCACTCAGTATGTGTTGAACAATTTTAATCTCCTTCCATGACAAAAGACAGGATCTATGGCTTGGAGGCAAGCAGTAGAGTCCATTTATCTTATACTCCAGTTTTTATTTCTACCCCACATGTGATGCCTGTTAGCAAATTAAGTTGAACACCGTGTTTCTAAAGCTGCAGTCCTTGTAGAGATCATGAGGCTTATTAAATGTGGGTGTACATTCTTACTATGTCTTCAGGTAGTTCAGCTATTTAAAACCATTAACTTAAAGTTGTGTATAATTCTTTTTTATTTAAATTCTTTAATTACTACTCATATATACATATCCATCCCCCCATTCCCTCGTCCCATCCTCCCATGCTCCCCACCAACCCCCCAACCCATCCCCCAACTAGTTCCCAGGGATAGTGAGGCCCTCCACCAGGGACCCTCAAAGTCTGTCCTATTGTTTGCAGGAGGGCCTAAGCCTTCCTTGCTGTATCTGGCTGCAATAGCATCCCTCCACAGGGAATGGGCTCCCAAAGTCCATCTGTGCTCCAGGGTTAAAGACTGGCTCCACTATTAGAGGTCCAACAGACTGTCCCGACCTCCTAGCTGGCACCTACATCCACTTTGGTCCAGTGCTGTTTCCGAAGCTTTATGATCAGGGTCTCCATGCTCTAACTAGGTCAGGCCAACTGTTCCTGCCGGTTTCTGCAGCACCATCTTGGCTTCTTTGCTCATCCCTCCTCCCTCTCCACAATTGGATTCCAGGGGTATGGTTCAGTGCTTAGCTGTGGGTGCCTGTTTCTGCCTCGAACAGCTACAGGATGAAGGCTCTAGGAATGGTTATTAATATATTACGCATATACAATAACAAACATATATGCTTAATCTAGCCAGCCTTCTGTGAACCTGTCAGTGGCTAGAATAGAGAATGATTAACATACTACTCCTGGCATCGAGAAGTTGCTCTTCTGGCAACTACTCCATTGGAGAATGGTCTAAAGGTGTTTAATAGTTCCCTGGAGGGGCACCTTCAGGACATAGTCTTCTAAATCAGTGAAAGTCTTCCCAGCTACAATTTACCATAGACCTGCCCAGTCCTACTCTCAATGAGTCCTATTGAGCTGGTCTGAAGCAAGGCCTCAGGCAGTGTAATGAAGGGTTTTTCTGGCAACCTTAATATGCCCCAGTGTTGAGAACCACAAGACAATGTCCTGGAGCAAATCAAATGATGCCCATACTCTGCTCAGTACAGTGAGAGATTTTAAGGGTAGTGTTCTGGCACAAAACAGTCCTCATTTAACAAACATTCATTTGTGCACCTAGCATTGCTAGGCATTGTTTTAGGTGCTTGGAGACAGACAGTACAGAAGTAAATAAAGTAGATAGAGACTTGGTTCTCAAGAGTCTTTCTGTCTAGGCATGAAGTATTCGTTAAACAGTGACCCAAAGCACAACAAAATCTCAAGCTGTGATGAGTACTTGGAAGTAGTAGAGGGTGCTATGGGAAGCAATGCTGCATGGATTTGACTGGAGGCTCAGGGGAAAGGGAACAGTGAATTCTGATTTAAACCAGGAGCAGGAGTTGAAGTAGAGGCATTTCAGAGATCTAGAAGGCATAAAGTGGTATCTGGATTTGAGGTAATGTGGGGAGAGTTGGGAGGGGGGCAGATTGAAGAATGATGCAGGAGAGTCCATTCATCTGACTCCTTGACTGTTTGAACAACAGAATAAGGAAGGCAGACTCCTCAGCGTAGTTTTGCAGGTATTTGGCCAAACACTATTTGCTGACATAGGAACTACTGGTGAGGAAAACATTAGCACACACTTGGTCAGGAAGTGCCAGGAAGATTAGTGGTAACTATTGCATCCATCTCTTTCATAGAATCTCACCTTCTTGCATCAAGGCAGAGAGCAAACAAGATTTTCAAGGGCAGCCAGATAAAAATTCAAACCAAGTGCTCATTGAACTGCCTCGAAGTGGTTTCTACTTAATGAAATAGGAAGGAAAGGAAAAATGTGGCTAGGGAGTAGATGCTCTCTGCCTCGCCTTTCCCTTTTGTAGTTCAGATGTTTGTGTTTGGTGATCAATTATTGGGAGTCCTGGAAAGTTGCATTCCAAACATTTCTGCTTCCAAAAGAAGTTCACAACCTAAGCACCTCTGAGGAGACCCTTTACTGTTGCTGTAAAGAGAAATCCATTCTTGTCACAGGCCAGTTCAGACTCAGATAGTCTGGAGCCTGCTGATTCCAGCAGGGTATCCTGCCTTGAGTGGTCCAGGATGCAAATACTCTGCAGCATGGTGGGAGTTAAATTTTATTTGTTCCACAACCATATAAATATATATATATATACACACACACAACATTACACACTATACACATTTGCAAGGCAACATCCATTCTTAGCCCATTCGGTCTCTCCAGTTCCTAAATGTTCAGAAGAATCTTGAGGTGGGATAAATTTGTGGAGTCTCTGCTGCACGCTGCCTCTCGTGGTCAACCAGGGGAGGTGTATGTGTAAACTCCAACAAAACCTGCCTCAAAGTTACACAGAGGGATTTGTTCGACATCTTGATTTCAAGTTTAAATTTGGTCAACTAATTCTTCAGTTATCCAGTTCTTATTGAAGCAGCAACAACAATAAATACAGCTTTCTCATGACATATTTCCTTATAAGAAAAAAATAAGAGATAGCTAGAAGGCAATTTAGTCACTTCTGATTTCTGAAGAGAAAAGGTCTTTGCATTACTAAGGGTTTCATTTGAAAAAAAGTGTGATCTCAAACCATTACATTTTGTGAAAATCACAAATGGATACATTAAAAATATCTAATTTCATTCTGTGTGCACTGAAATTGTGCAGGGATAGAAAAAAAAGCATGGCCATATTTCCCTGAGGATATTTTTTTCCATACAGACCAATATTACAATGACACATTTTTGTAAATATTTTGAATGTGCATGATCGATTTTTGTCACTTGTCCAACACCTAGAAGTGCTGACAACATCCTAACACGCACTTCTAAATCTGTTTCAGCAAGCAACTGGTAACCATCTACAAAAGGCTCCTCTATTTTGACATATGCTTAATTAATGCTACATATGACACCCCAAATGTCACAATTCATGAGTTTAAAATATTAATTCTTAGATGACTTTGGTTAACTGGTTCTAAAGTGGAATTTGAACTTAATTTCACATGAGTATTAGATTCTCCTACAATAATTTCAACTTTTAGATAAAGGATTTCATAAAATCTTTTATGATTTTAGCCCAAGGATGAAAATTACATAAGAATGTTATAGACCAAATGCATGGCTTTTCAGCATTTCAGCTCTATCTGCAAACCCACAGGGGATGGGTGGGATTCTGAGTTATGACATCTGGCCGCAAAGTCCAAGCTGTTTTTTGATGAAATTGGAGATTAGTAGCTGTGGCCGTTGCTGGTACTCCACCAGGACATCATGCGACAAATTGATTTGGTCACTCTCAAGTCTGTCAAGTAGTGTCACACAGACCACGGCAGCTAGGAAAACAAGCAATATGGTTAGTGATACAAACAGGCTTATCTGTTCTACAGGATATTAGCCTAAAGTGCTAACATTCACAACATGTGTATTTTAAATTGTTCTTCTGTAACATAGATGTAATCTCCTGGATCCTCTAGTTTTCTCTTCCTTCCTTCCTTCCTTCCTTCCTTCCTTCCTTCCTTCCTTCCTTCCTTCCTTGCAAGACTCATCTAAATTAGTCAGTTGAAAATATTAAAAACCCTCTTTCCTCTGAAGTGTACTAGGCTAAGGAAAGCATTTTGCTCAGAAGAGAGCAAGAAAAAGATAAAAAACAAAAACAAAAAATCCTTTGTATCCAAGGCACACAAACCTCTGGACTTTCAGTTGTTCTTGCCAGTGCCAAGAGGAGGCTCTTCCCCCTCTGGAATGACATTTGAGTGCTGGGTGCAGTATATGAATGTGCTTGAGGCAAGTCCAATGAACTAACTATGGGATGCTGGCCAGAAAATACCCATGAAGGTGAACACAGATCCCGATGAAATGTAAGATCTCAAGTCGAGTGTTTGAACATTAGACTTAAGAGCACAAAAGAGCAAACACATAGCATTTAATTTACAAAGCGTTAGGGAGATCATGTGTTGGAAAACAAAATAACAACAATGTCTGGGAAAGAATACAGTAAGTTTTAGAAAGCAAAATTTGCATTTCTTTTGACCCAAGGGAAGTATCTTTGACTTGTCCTATTAGGAAAATCTAAACAGAAAAAAATGGGTACTTTATTATCAGTTTCATATTAAGTCTCTGATTCCAAGGAATGTGCTTACTTATATTGGAACCAGTGTTGAGCATTTAGGATTGACAACAGTGCACTAGTCTCCGTCAGCATCTAAAAGAACATAACTGCAAAGGGGGTCAACTCCTTCGACATAGGCAACCTGTGCGAGCACAAAAATAGAATTGGGTAATATACGTTTATTGACTCCCTGCTTCAGGCTTCATTGGAAGATATGGATTTAGGAATAAGCATTCTGTAATCACAAGAGTTTGTGCTATCTTTTAAATATTTACTTTTCATTGATAAATGATACTTAGATATATTTAGGGGTACAATGAAATATTTCAATAGGTATATGCATTATAGAAAGACTTAATCTAACATGCACCCTCTCACACACTTTTCATAACAACAATTAAAGTTTACTCCTTTAGATATTTAGACAGACACATTATTATCAACAATACTCTTTAGGACATTAAAATTTATTCCTCATCTTACTACAACCTTGTGCCCTTTGGCCAACATGTCTGCACCCCCATCCTGCCAACCCTTCCAAGTCTCTTATAGCCATGACTCTAATCTCTATTCCTATGACTTTTTTAGATTCCACACATGAATGGGATTGTACAGGATCACTTTCCGTGCCTGGCTTATTTCACTTAGCACGATGTCTGCACTGTTTATCTGTGTCATCACAACTCCCCAGATCTCCTTTATAAGACAAAAGTGTTCCATTTTATGTGCATTTATGTGCAGTTTGTTCATGCAGTCATGTATCCAGTCATTACTGGTGACCAATTTTGTTGCTTTTGTGATGGTGGCTGTTGTGAGTGATGCTGTAGTGAATACTAGTGATGGAATCTCTTCCACATACTGATTTCAGTTCTTTAACTTATATATTTGAGGTGAGATTTTTCAGACACCATGGTAGTTCTGAGATACCTCTATCCAGTTTCCCAGGATGGTGGTGCTGATGTGTATTTCCATCACTAGCATACTAGTTTCCTTTATTTTTTTTTTAACCTCCTCACTAACACTTGTAATTGTTTGCCTTTTCTAGTCATTGTAACTGGTGATCAATGATCATTGGGCTACTTGTTTCCCTGCAATTAAATTATACAAATTCCTCCTGTATTTTGGGTATAAACATCTTACTATTCAACTTGCAAATATTTTCCAATTCATGTATCTTTTTCTTTGGTTCAGTTATTGTTGTGTGCCAGGCATTGTGATGTCGTAATTCAGGCAGCCATGTCATGAAGGAGGTAATATTTTGTTTCCTTAGACAGATGATGAAATGAAGGCTTAGAAAAGTTAAACAAATGGCTCATTATGATGTAACTGCTAAGGAAGTAACCAGTTAATCCCCACTTCCTAAACAGCTGCATCCACTCCTGACCAGGTATGTGATGAATTATTCTGACTTGCCGTGGCCTGCCCATCAAAATGAGGCTTACAATCAAGTAAAAAAGCATGAAAATATTCAACTAGGGAAGAGTTGAATATTTCATCACCTAGGATCCTATTTACTCAAAAATCACTCACTTTGGTTGTAAAGCAACTTGACTGAGCAGATAAACAAAGTGGGAGAGCTAAAGACTGCCCAGGCTTTGCAAGTTAATGAGCAGTAGGTCTGTGAAGTGCAGCATGGCTGGCAGATGCAGGGAACCTTGCAAGTCCAGCTCCAATCCCCTCACTTGGCAGGATAAAAGGAAACTGGTGCTCTCTGCTCTTCACAGAGCGCGCACTGAGCAGACTGTTTCCCTTGGATTTCAAGGGTAAGGTTAAATCCAGAGAGAACAAGTAACAGCAATTTTGGCTTTGCTTTCTCCACCCTGGGGAGCTCTAACAAGCATCATGTAATGATCTCGTCACCTAACTATTTCCATGAACAAATAAAAGGGACTAATTACCCAGAACAACCTGTCAAAATGAAGCCTGTAGCTTTTCTGCTGTAATCCTTAGATTAGGCATGAAGGGGAGTTCCTGGGGCCAGAGGGACACTTAGTGACCTGCCTGTCACCAAGAACATTGCCAGATACCTGACCCAGGCAGAATGTAATAGGAACATACAGGTCTAAGGCAGAGCTTACTGTGTTCAGAGCCTTGTCATAATGCCTAGCAATTCTCAGCCCTTTGGCATCGTTTATGGCTGCCCAGAGAAGCTAATGAAAGTCATCCTCTTGTCTTTTTTACATTGAAAAAAAAAAGACGTGTCTTTCTATGCACACAAAATATCTGCAGATAATCTTAGGGGAGCTAGGGCCTCTAGAGCTCATATACCAAATCCTTTAGATTCCACACCGCTCTCTGGTCTACTGTGTTTGCAGCCTGTCTCTGATTCAGATCAAACCTCCAGCAAGGTTTTTGCATTAATGGGGTGGGGGTGGGGGCTAAAGCTAACAGGGCTGGGAGCCAACACCCATGTACACAGCAGAAACCAAATGAGCTGGCTGTTGGAAAACAGCAAAGGTTTGTGTTGCAGCTCCCTATCTGTTCCTCTTATCCATTCTTCCCTCCTACCCCCACTTCTGCCGCTCGATCTTCTGTTGTTCCTCAATGTTTGAGTTTATAAAGCCAACACCCTTTTGTCCTGGCCTGCCTGCTGTGGAAGGCTCTAGAATCATGTCACCATCAGCCTGAACCTTTCACTTCCTGTGTCTTCTTTGTGACCTTGACCTCAGGCTCTCGGTGGCCTATCACAAAACAAGTGGAGAAGTTCAGAGGGGCCAGCAGGGCCAGAGACATACAAATAACCAATTCTTATAGGTTCATGTTTCTCAAAACTTGGTCTACTGACCACCTGTATCTAGGCACCAATATTTCAGATTCTCATGCTACATACCAGATCCCCCTGGAACCAGAGGGGTGGCAAGGGAGCACAGTAAATACTTGTAGAAAGCATATCTTTTTCATTGAATTCTCTGAAAACTATTTGAAAGACTTTCAACTCCATTCCAGAATCAACCCAAGTTACCATGAACATACATACCTACAACCTACTCCTTTAGGTCAATAAAGGCATGCTGGACTAACTGGATGCGAGCTTTCACATTACATCCTCTGATTGTCCAGTGGCTCTTATGAAAGTGCTATTAAAGATGCTTCCTGTTACAGCAGAGCTGACGATTTCACTTATTTAGTTTTTGGATAAAGTTTAACATTTTAATAAAGTTTTGTCAAAACAAACCAAAAAAATCTCAAATACTTTTATTATATAATGAGAGTGGAATAACACAACTTGTTTTCATTTTCACCTAAGAAACCCAGAGCTCAGTCCATGTATTCGCATTTACCTTTGAACTTCTGAGGAGTGTCTTTGATATTGAGGCCCCTAGGAATATGTCCACTCACTTACATAAGCACCTCTTATTCTTTCCCCCTTGTTTTAAATACCATTTAAACATCCCTGATCCACTGAAAGCTGTTGCTAGTGTTTTCTCCAGTACCGGTGTGCACACAACATTTTGCAGTAGTAACTACACTTTGTGACACCATATGAAGAATGCAACAGCCAGGAGGCAGTGGTGTTGGATCTGTTCCATCCTTGTTCTTGCTTAGCTGTGCTTCCTTGGGCTGCTCAATTATTCCCTCTAGACCTGGCTTCATCCTCCCAGAAAAGGATGTTTTTCAGGGTCTCCCAGGCCTTCTAGTTTCCACCTCGGACCTCACATCATCTCATCAGTAGAAAGACCATGTTGTCTTCCCTGAGGAGGCCTAGCAACCATGCTGGGTCCTTGATCTGCTGGATGCTGGGCCATGAAACAAGATGACTTGGGATGACAGGCAATAGAGTTAGTCCTGGTCCCTGGTCCTGAGAGGCCAGTACAGGCTGTGCCAGTCACACAAAGGGTGTGTTGGCAGTGGCAAGAGAAGGTTAGGATTAGAACTAGTCAGTCAACCAAAAGTACACTGGCTTAAATTCAAAATATGCTAAAGTGTTTCAAAGTAAGTTATTTTTTCTTAATCTTGTCTTTGTCAAATTTACAAGCCGAACAATAGCTAAATGTTAGAATTTTAAATGTTTCGTCTCAAGGAAAAGAAAATGTTTGAGATGATGGATCTACTAATTATCCCAATTTGATCATTATACAGGCCCTACACATATTGAAACTTGAACAGTCATTATTCAGCAAGAAAAAAAAGTACCACAAGGTGTGGTGTGGTGACACACATCTGTAACCACAGAATTCTGGAGTTTGAGGCAAGTGATCAAGACCAGCCTGAATCATAGACAAT